TTCTGAAATTGGCAAACAAATTATTGAGCACTATACCTTGGACCAAAAATTATCTGCTGAAAAATACGAAAAATTATATATATAATATCAAAAAGTTTTTATGATCCCCAAACGGATAAGTACGAAAAAGTAAAGTTAGCTGAAATAGAAGGAATCGAAGGAATAATAAGCATTTTTTCATCTGAAAAAAAATATATATTTCTTGGGGCAAAAAGAAGGAAGGATAAGCACCCAGAAGGTATACTTCATAATAGGCTTCATAGCCACCATAGGAAAAATAAGAGGGCTCGAAAAGTAATACAGCTGCAGTGATATAGATACAGAAATTTTTGTAGCCTCTAGCGATATTTTTGATCATGTTAGTAAACTTAAGTTTTATGTGGGCGGTGAACCAGATTGTATGGATTTGTGGAAACTGACATACGATTATAGAAAATATTTAATAAGTCAGTCAATAACTTTTCAAGAGGTAGCCGATGAGTTTCCACTCTGCAAGCAGGCAACCGTATACACTTTTGTAAGCACGATGCCAAATGTTGGCTTGTAATTGTTTGTCTTGTTTCGTATTGTCCTTGTGTTTTTTTAGATATTTATATTTGATAACTATTAACAACAATTTGTTTTTAGTCGGAGAACGACTTATGTCAACTGCAATGTGGATTTCAAAATGGTCTGACTAATAAATAAGCTACCACGGTTCCAAACTTAATAGAAATTTTTAATGGAAGCGTGAAGGACATTTTTTATAAAAACCTTAAGGTATCAATAAACGACAATACGGACGATAATACATATTAACAATTGTATTTTGCCTAATAATACAAAATAATAAACAAAAATCTTTCTTTTAGACTCTAAGGGTTGCATTTTGTTCATGATGCTGCCACCATCAAACCGTCATATCACCACACAGTTCCTGAGAAAGGCAACAATACAGGACAGCGTCAGCAGTTGTATAACACATATAGCAACTAAATCGTTAGAATTGGAATCCACAATTTAGTTGTCGGAAAGGATTTAATACATTTAACTGAACTTAATGTTTGTGTTGGCACGAAACCTTGACTTTATATTTGTCGCCGCTTATTTCAAAAGCCTTCATAAGAAAAATATGGGGATGATATATTTTTTAAACCTATTATAAAAACATTTGAAAAACTTCAAGAAGTTGGCATAACAATAACTACGAATATCGGGCCCAGGAGAATATTTTTTATTTTGTCAAATATTTTTTGAGACAATTTAGGTCTGAACGAAATTCTTGGCTTTACAGCTTCATTTAACGCATCTTTTTACTGCCGATTTTGCATTCTGTCAAAAGAGGTAAATGCCAAAGGATATCTTGCATTATCAGAAAATGTATGAACCAAAGACAGCTATGAAAAAGCAGTAAAGGATAATAATTTAAGGTTAACTGGCATTAAATCGAGTTGCATTTTTAATGAGCTTAGATTTTTTCATGTTATAAATAATTTTATTGCTGACGTTATGCACGATTTGTTTGAGAGTGCTTGTAGGTACAGTGTATGTGAAATTCTGTTACACTTTATTTTAAATAAAAAGTTTTTTTCTTTAGAGAGTCTTCACTTTCGGAAAAAAAATGTTTGAATACGGTGAAACCGGAATCGGAAACAAATCAATCGATTTTGAGCTTCACCAGCTTACAAATTCTTTGATTAAAACCTCAGCATCTGAAATGAAAACTTTAATTCATAATTTTACATTAATAGTTGGAGATTTGGTTCCTATTGAAAATGACGCTTGGAAATATCATACCAATGTAATTAAATTAATTGATTTGTTGCTAAGGAATAAATTTGATTCATAATTTTTTAATAATTTATCTCTTCTTGTTTAAAATATTAGTTAGGATTTTAAGCGATTACTTGACAAGCCCCTTAAACCAAAATTTCATTTTCTTACTCATCATCCGCTGATAATAAGAAGGAGTGGGCCTCCGAAATACTTTTGGAACTTTAGGTTTGAGGAAAAACATAGGGAGTCTAAAATTTATTCAAGAAATGTTATTATTTATTCACGAAAATTTACAACATTCTTGGAGGAAAACGTGGCCTTCGTCATAATTTTGAATTAATAAAATAAACTTTTATGACATAAAATCATCAGAATATTTCCTTATAATGGATAATTCTAAAAAAATTATCAACATTTTTTAATTAAACATTTGGAATATAAATGCTTTACATATAAGGAAGGATTTTTTTTAACTCTTAGAAAAGATGAACAAAATTTAAACTTACATAAACTTAAACCCAGCTTAATTATAATTTCCCTTTGTCTTAGGTGAGCGTTATAAGAATGAACACTATCAACCCTTTAAAGTCGGCCCGCCTATCCATGTACACCTGGTCGGCGGCAGAAAATTTATAAGATTAAAAAATTATAAAACACACATATAACTTCAATAAAAAAACCAAATTTGTATTAAAAAATGCAAATTAAATTATTGGTCTTTTTTTGGGTGTGAAATGAACAATTTATTCGTGTCATATTGATATCAAGTATTGATATCAAGTTAACCCTAAAAATTCTCTTTTTATAACCCGAATGGGGCTCAAAATACTGCGAAATAGTGTCACTGTGACCACATGTTCTTACTAAAAAATGCCAATGCGTAGTTTCCTTTTGACACCAAAAAGTGTCAAATTGATATTTACGAAAATATCAAAATTACACCAAAATAGTGTCAATTAGATTCGTTCTTCGTATCACAGATTTGTTGTTGGTTTTTCTTATTTTTATACCCGTTACTCGTAAACGGGTATTCTTCGGAAAGTTGAAACAGGTAGAGGGATACGATTCCGACCCCATAAAGTATATATATATATGTATATTCTTGATCAGAATCATTAGTCGAGTCCATATAGCCCTGTCCGTCTGTCCGTATGAACGCTAATATCTCGGACAACAGTTTTTATGCTAGAAAAGAAAATTTGACTGAAATGTGTTTGCCTCAATACGTATCGATTGAGTGAACACAGTTTTTCAAGCCATCTCCATCTACTTATGCTCCCTAAAGCTGAGTAACAGGTAACTAAAGCTTTCTTCCTTGTTTTGTTTTAATTCTTTTGGGACTTTTAAAATAGTTTAAAAGCTGTAATATTTACTAGGAAAGTTTTATGAACAGCTTCATACCGAAATCTAGCCAAAATTTGTACATAAACCCGAAATTTGTAAGGAACTACAATTTTGTGCTTTCATTCAACTTTAAGCTTAGTAACGACACAAACTATGCATAAATTGATGACCTAAATGTCGAGCTTCAGCACATAAAACGTTAAAATGTGTAAGAACAAAATCAAATATAATACTAAATTAATCACTTTAAGTTCGACTTATTCACAACTTGTAGCCGATTGAGACCATGTTGTTTTCAGCATAGGTAAAATCGATAACAAAGTGTCAACATTTGACTTTTTTTTAATAATTCGTATCTTTTCAAACAATAACAAGGAAGAACGCTATAGTCGAGTACCTCGACTATCAGATACCCGTTACTCAGCTAAATAGAGATATGCAAGTAGCAAAGCGAGATTAAAATGCGCCACCTACCGGCGGTATACAGATTTAAGCGTTATGGGCGTTAGAGTGGGCGTGGCAAACTTTTTTTTGGGTCAATCGATAGGTATTGATGAGAACATTACATTTCAGTTAAAATTTTTATTCTAGCATCAAAACTGTAGGAGCCACAGTTTTGGGCGGTTTGTGGGCGTTAGAGTGGGCGTGGCACTCTACTGAAACAAACTTGCGCTGCGTAAGAAGCTCAGGAATCTGCACGCCAAATCTCAATAGCCTAGCTCCCATAGTTTCCGAGATCTCAGCGTTCATCCGGACAGACAGACGGACATGGCTAGATCGACTCGGCTAGTGATCCTGATCAAGAATATATATACTTTATGGGGTCGGAAACGCTTCCTTCCGACGAATCTAGTATACCCTTTTACTCTACGAGTAACGGGTATAAAAAGGAAGAACGCTATTGTCGAGTGCGTCGACATCAGATACCCGTTACTCAGCTTAACTAACTTCAAAATAAGTATACTTTTTACATATATTATTTTTGTTCTACTTTAAATTTTACACTTTTCACTTTTATCTACTGGCTGGGACTTCATTGACGATGTTCTTGCTAGATCAGGATGAAATCATTACTTTTTAACTAATGGTTCCATTTTAACTTTTTTCATGGTATTGACAAGAGGAAAAAAATATTTATTTTAAGTTTTAATCTTTAAAAATGTTGACTCCATGGTATTGACAAGAGGAAAAAAATATTTATTTTAAGTTTTAATCTTTAAAAATGTTGACTCCACAGTTTTGGGCGGGTTGTGGGCGTTATACAACTGCTGAAATACACTTGCGATACGGAAGAATATCTGGATCTCTATGCTTAATCCAAACTATCAGAAACAAAACCTCGTTAAACTTTTTTAAAACTATTAAAAAATGTGGATGTCAAATAATTAAATGTTTTAATAAATAGTACAAAAACTATATGAAAATGTGTGGTGAATTTTTCTTTAAATTTTTTTACAACAAAACATGAGCAAACCCTTTAGACGATGGTCTCGACTATTGGATACCCGTTAATCAGCTTAAGGGAGTGCGAGAGGGATTAATCATAAATCATTTAAGCAAATCTGCTATTTTCACTAACACATCTAGCCTATATCGCCACCTATCCTCTTCTTCTATAGCGCCACTTGGCCTACAGCGCCAATTAGCCTATAGCGCCCCTAGCGGCTTGATGGCTTATTAGTAAAAACTGCTTGTTGGCTGCATGTGGATTAAATTGCAAAATATTTATTATTAATTGGTTAAACGTTTTTAATGATTGGCTTGCATGTTAACATGTTGATAGGTATTGATAACAAGAAAACACTCTCATTTAAATTTTTACAAAATTTTATTAAGTGTGGGCGCTAGACGGGTTTTATTGTTATAGTCGTTTGTGGGCGTTAAAGTGGGCGTGGCACCCTGCTGAGACAAGCTTGCGCTGTGCAGGAAGCTCAGGAATCTGCAAATTACAAGAACGGATACCGATTTAATAAAAGAATATTAACTTTTATTTAAACTTTAAAATAACTTTTACTTAAACTTTACTTTCACAATTCTTTTTTGACATTGATATCTTATGCTAATTTTCCGACTGCCCTAGCTTGCGTTGGCTCTCTTCCCTTGTTGCCTCGAGATATAAGCTTTTGGAAGCTTGCCCTCGTAATTTCCCGAAGTCTTGATTCCGAAGTTATTAATCGAGTAGGATTGCTGTGATCGGCATGGCAAATTTGGAAGCAAAGGAGACGCCATAAATATGGGATCGCGGTGTCATAACTCTCGACGTTGCTGGCTATCTTGGGGGAATTTGTTTACATCTGTCTCAAGCTTGACTCGCCGTTGGTTTATTAGGTGCGAGTCTGAGAATGCTTATGTGATAAGAACTTGTGAGAACTCAGTAGCAAGCTTTGCCAAAATAATTTGTTTACAATATTAATAAGAATAGTTCATTAAATTTATAGTTAATTTGCATGCCTAGTCCCAACACTCTAGCTCTCAGCGTTCATACAGACAGGGGACAATCGGACATGGCTATATTGACTTGGCTTGTGATCCTCATCAACAATATATATATATTCTTCTATCTGTTACATACTTCTAGTATACCCTTTTACTCCACAAGTAACGGGTATAACAAGGAAGATCGCTATAGTCGAGTGCCTCGACTATCAGATATCCGTTACTCAGCCTGTTTGTGGGGAAAACAACAAAAATGCCACCCTTATATTTATAATTAATAACGCACGAATAGGTTATATTACATGTATAGCGTTTATTCGGAGCGGCAGACGGACTGTGGAAAAGCTTGGCTCCAAGATCTTCATATAGATATATGCAGGCTTACAAAGTAGTTGAATAGATAAGCGACAGCTTTAGTGGTATAAGAAAGAAGGCGACAAAAGATAAGCAAAGAGCGCTGCAGGTGCCGTCGTACACCTATGCGCGCATGACTAGGCGCTGGCGATCTGCTCCGAACACAGCTATAGGGAGCAAAAGGGAGATGGATTTATACAAACAGCAAAGCGAGATTGTAAAGCCCCACACCTACCCCCGATGTAAATATATGATTATGCGGGCGGCAGATTTAAGCGTTTTGTGCGGCTTGTGGGTGCTAGAGTGGGCGTTGCAAACAGACCAATAAATTTCATTTACATTTTTTTTAAGCTTGAAAACTGTAGGAGCCACAATTTTGGGCTGTTTGTAGGCGTCAGAAGGGGCGTGGCATTTTCGCGTATCGCAGCGTTCACACGAACAGACGGAAATATACTTTGTGGGGTCGGTGACGCTTCCTTCTACCTCTTGCATACCTTTCCCCGCGGACTGTTATGTTTTAAAGTATTTAAGATTCTCAGCTATTCCGGCCCAATGGACTAAAAATTCGTTAGCGATATCGCAAACGAAAGTTTCGCGAGAGTTAAACGTGCAATGAGTATCGATTCGGATCCAAAAACGACAAAAAAACGAACTACTGGTCGCTCATGTTGTGGCAGGAAAAGGTTTATTTTGGATGTTTCGAAAACGGATCGTTTTCGAGCCTTTTATAATATCTTTAGCGAGGCGATTTTAATATTATTATCCGAAATTAAAACTAGACGCGGCTCTTAGAAGATATCATTAAACGGTTGCAGACGCGCTGTTCTGCGATAGCTTAAGCTGATCAGGAAAACTTAGAAGTAGGTCAGGATAATTTAGAGGTAGGTGAGGAAAATTTATTAGGAGGTCAAGATAATGTAGAAGTTAATCAGGAAGATATAGAAAACATTGAGTCCGATCAGGGAGACTTAAATTTTAAGTTGAAACAGAGGTTTATAAAGCACAAGCCAACTCGTAGTTGCGCTATAGATCTAAACAAAATTTTAAATGAAGAAAATTTAAGTGTTAGGCCTTAGATATTACGGAAATAGATGGGGGTTCCTATTGGCTTATCGAAGCTATTAGTTAAATTATCTGTGGTAGCAGAATTTCTAGAAGTTTTATGCATTGACGTTAATATTGACGGTCTTCCCTTAACTAAAAGCTCTTGTGCACAATTGTGGCCTATTTTAGTTCGTGTTATTAATATTAATAAATGCCCCGTCTTTCCAGTAGGAAATTTTCATCTAAAAATAAGCCATCTAATTGTGTTCAATACATGTCAAAATTTACTAGTGAATTGTCCGATCTTATCATAAACGGACTAACAATTTCAAACAAAAAAGTAAATTTAGAACATAGGGCGGTGGCTTGTGATGCACCTGCAAGGGCATTTGTTACAGGAACCCCTGGACATATATCCAGTCACGGCTGTACCAAATGTCTTCAGGTTGGTCGCAAAGTAGATGGTACATTAACATACAGTACTGTTGCTAGTGAGTTAATTACTGATGAAGACTTTGCGAATAAAATTTATCTAAACCATCACAGCAAAGATTATTTGAACAGTCCGTCGGCTTTTGAAACGCTTGGTGATAACCCAAGTTCCTCTAGATTGTATGCATCTTATTGAGTTGGGGGTGTTCACGCCAAAAGGGCGTTTAATTTCAGGAGGCAGTGTCGAGCGGCAGTTTTATCCAGATTTTTACACCTCGCGCGCTTGCACTGCCGTCCCTTCTCCCTCTCCATCTCTCCCCTAAGTCACCGCTCTGCTCTGGAGCGCTTAAGTTAAGTTAGGCTTAAGCTGTTCATGTTTCAAAGTGTACTAATAAACACCTACGCACGTCGCGTAAAAACCCAAAAGTACCCGCGTATTTTTATGCGTACCATTCGATCTTGGGGCTTCAACTATTTCATCGATCAAGCCGCACCGCCCCAACAGGGGGTAATGCGCAAATTTTTAGAACGAATTTATTATAACATACTTATAAATAAAGTTGCAAAACAAACCAAGAACAGTGTTTCCGCTAAATTAATGTTAATGCGTTGTTAATGTTGCAAGGAAGCCGAGGACATTGTTAGAGCTTCCTAACTGGAAAAGCACTGAGTTTAGGCAATTCTTATTATACACTGGTTTTGTAGCTCTCAAAGATTTGATGACCAGTATTATTTATTTTTATTACTGCTCTGTGCATTTAGATTGCTATGTTCGCAAAAGCAACGGGGAAATAATATTGAAAATGTTCAACAAATATTAAATTTATTTGTTGAAAATTTCCCCATTGTATTTGGAGCAAACAGTGTGACTTACAATGTCCACGGCTTACTCCATGTAAGAGATACTATCAATCAAATCGGAAATCCGGTTTCAGGATCTTCTTACTCCTTTGAGAATTACTTGCAGCTCCTTAAAAAATGTGTTAGAAAAAAATCTTTTATCTTAGAACAAATATTTAGGAAGACAGTCGAAGAAAAATACGTAGCCCCAGCAGAAGAACAAATAAAATTGGTAGGCAGAAATCTTAAAATGAACGACTGCACACTTAGTGTTAGGCAACCGGACAATTGATGGAAGGGAATTGCAAGATAGGGACAGTTTTTTATTGAGGCAATGAATTCTTCTGGCCTAGTATAAAAAGATTTTCAATAATGGAATTTATTTAGAAAAAATAGTAGTAGTTCCATGGATGCATTTTCTTTTAAATTGGATTCTTAGTTTTTTTTTTGTAAAGGAGGTGTTTAGTCCGTAGGCGTTAGTTTATTATGAATCGGGCATATTTATTGCGACGGCGCTTTAAATATCTTTCGAAGATTCACCTACCTTGGTTTGGGTACCAAAAAAAAAGCACTTGTATTATTTTATTTATTATTCTTTTAATTTTCCATACTTACAATTATTGTTTATTTAATTTTTTTCTTATTATTTTCCCTTATTTTTGTTTATTTTTTATAATTTCTTTTATTTCTAACTATTTACGAATATTTTCGTTATTAACAATTGTTGTTTATTTTCTGTTTATTATTATTTTCATTTATGTTTGTTTATTTTTTATAATTTGATTAATTTCTACTTTTTTTAATTATAATATAATACTTATTATAATATTTTACTTATTACGTTGAAGATTCAGTAGTAAGCCTATCTGATAATGGGTGTTCGACACGAATAATATCGCAAAAGTTAAAAATCAGCCAATCAGCAGTCATTCGTGTGCAAAAAAGGCGCAACGCGGTACCCAAGGTACAAAGAAGTGGTCCAGGTCGAATTTTGACTGATGCAGATGCAAGGCTTATGATGCAAAAAATTAAAAATGAGAAAAATTGTAAACCCAAGGATGCATCCGCAGCCATGGGGAAGCCCGTCAGCCAGTGGACAGCGTGCCGAGCACTTAGGCGCATTGGATACGCCTCAGAAGTGAAAAAGAAGAAACCGGCCTTGTCTGATAAAAATATAAAAGCGCGATTAAAATTTGAAAGGGCGCATAAAAATTGGAAACGGGGTGACTGGGAAAGAGTTATATGGTCTGATGAATATAAATTCAATCCATACCAGTCGGATGGTAAACAATATTGTTGTAAGAAGGGGGGAGGAAATGTCATGGTCTGGAGCTGTTTTACTTGGTGGAGCGTTGGACCAATTAAAAAAATAGATGGAATTATGAAGAAGGACTATCTAGATATTTTGCAAACCCATCTTCGCGAATTGGTTGACAAATGTGCATATAAGGAGAGTGACATCACATTTCAACAAGATGGCGATCCAAAACACACGTCCAAAATCGTCAAAGAATGGATCGCAAAGCAACATTTTAAGTTAATGGAGTGGCTAGCACAGAGTCCTGATCTCAATCCTATCGAAAATTTGTGGTCGATAGTGAAAAGACGATTGGGACTCTATGAATCGGTACCATCAAACCAGCATGAGTTGTGGCAACGAGTCCATCAAGAATGGAGAGCTATTCCAAAAGAAATCATACAAAATTTGGTAGAAAGTATACCAGATCGAATAAATAGCGTAATTAAAAATAAAGGTCTTTGGACCAAGTATTAAAAAAAAGCGTTTGTTGAAAAATTCAAATTGAGCATAACTGAGTACATGCGAGTTTATTTGGTTTTTAATTTCTTAATGAGACCAATTAGTTTATTTTGTTATATTTGGTAATGAATATTCAAAGAATAAACACAAAAAATTTGGCTTCATTTACTTTATTAATAACTTTTTTATGCGGGCCCAAAGTAAATAGTTGCAAACATGTACTCAGACTTGCACGCCACTGTACCTTTGTTTACATTTTTTTGTTCCAAGTAATGAGCGATAGTTTAGTAATGTGAGACAGCGGAGTTGTCGATATTTATGTTGCGAGCTGTGGCATTAGAGGTACTCTGCTCTGGGATAAGACTGAGCTAGCGGCACTGCCACCGAAAAATATGCAGTTCGTAACATATTGGCGCCCAAAGTAAACTAAATGAATTGTCGAGGCGACGACGTCTCGCCCATTTATGACCCTGACGACCCCGTCATCCCGAACTGTGGCTTGCAACGTAGATTGCAATTGCTAGGGAGTGGTGACGGGGAAGTCAGTTGCGTAGGGAAATTGAAAGTAGAACGGGAGGCTGGTCGACGAACATTGCCGACGAATTGCTCATGGTCACAGGTTTACCAGTGATGGCATCCTGGCATCCTGGTTTAAAACAAGACTTGCATCACTGAAGACACTTAAGAAAGTCTGTGATAATTTCAGTGATAAAGTAGTTTTAAAGCTTGTATTTTGTTAATTATATATTTAAAATGATTTTTGTTAGGATGTTGGGTTCCTGGGTTTTTCTCCCCATCCTGGATTTCCAAATTTATGTCGGTTATATACTTAATTACGTACGCACAGTTACCTCGACTTAAAAAAAAAGACGGGAATGAAAAGCCTACAGGAATCCTTGAGTGACGGCTACTACCACGAAAGATAGTTCAGTTGACGAACGGCTGGGCGGTGACGGGAGAACAGGGGTTTTGGAGTAATCGCAAGAGGAGTTAGGTCGGAAGCTTACCGGCGAGGGTCAGTTCCATCTCCCTAGGTCCAGAGCTGTAAGAAGAAAAAAAATGGAGAATTATAATAGGTGATCGTGAAGAAAGGTGTTTGCAAGTGAGGAAGATTTGTTTTATTGTTATTTATTTTTGCTATTAGTTGTTATCGTATTCTTTTATTTATTATACCCGTTACTCGTAGAGTAAAAGGGTATACTAGATTCGTCGGAAAGTATGTAATTCTTGATCAGGATCACTAGCCGAGTCGATCTAGCCATGTCCGTCTGTCCTTCTGTCTGTCCGGATGAACGCTGAGATCTCGAAAACTATGGGAGCTACGCTATTGAGATTTGGCGTGCAGATTCCTGAGCTTCTTACGCAGCGCACGCCCACTCTAACGCCCACAAACCGCCCAAAACTGTGGCTCCTACAGTTTTGATGCTAGAATAAAATTTTAACTGAAATGTAATGTTCTCATCAATACCTATCGATTGACCCAAAAAAAGTTTGCCACGCTCACCCTAACGCCCATAAACCGCCCGCAAACTTCAAAAAATCGTAAATATGAACGTAGATATCTCGGAAACTATCAAAGATAGAGAATTTGGATTTCAGATTTAGATTCCGTAGCCTTATACGCAGCGCAAGTTTGTCACGCGAATATGCCACGTCCACTCTAACGCCCACAAGCCGCGAAAACCTGTGACGCCCACAACTTTTTTGCTAGATAAAAAATTTTAACTGAAATGTATTGGTCTCGTCAATACCTATCGATTGGTCCAAAAAAAAATTTGCCACGCCCACAACGCCCATAACGCTTAAATCTGCATACCGCCGGTAGGTGGCGCATTTTAATCTCGCTTTGCTACTTGCATATCTCTATTTAGCTGAGTAACGGGTATCTGATAGTCGAGGTACTCGACTATAGCGTTCTTCCTTGTTTTTCTTATTTTTTTAAAGATTCCTTTGAAAGTCAAATGGCAGAGTTGAAAGGTATGTTTTATAACCCTACACTGAAAATAGTAATCGCCCTGATTTTTAGAAATTTGTCGTCAATGGCGATTTATTTTATAAATTTAAAGTACGATAAATACGAATACTATTTAATATTAATACTGTTACTTACACTAAAAATAGTTTTCGGACGTTTTGCTTAAAAATGTATCGTACTGTAAATTTATAAAATAAATCGCCATTGACGAAAAATCTCTAAAAATCATGGCGATTACTACTTTCAGTATATTTTGATGTTTTATTTATTTTTTGTAATATAAATAAATTAAAATTTCAGAAGAGGTTCTCCAAATCCCCAGGAAGATCTCTGTAGTAACGCAGAAGCTCGACATTTTGGCGGACAAACTGGCGGAAACCACCGCCATTTTAAAGGTATCCTTCGCTCCAGACAAGGAGATCTCGGTCGTGGTACCGTTTCAATTAAAAACGGAAGAGGAATTGGATGAATTCGAAAATTCCTTGACCCCGGAGCTCGTCGGTTTTTACGTAAGTATCGAGCAAGGCCGACATGTTTTTGCATTTCTATGTTTCTTTTTTATTTATATTTGCAGACAATGAAAATATCAAAAATTATTGGTAGCGAACCGCTGTCAAAGCGGTTTAAGCTGGTCATAGCGGAGGATATGATAAATAACTGCAATTTGGACGGGTCGAATGGGAAGAAGTCCCTCCGATCGAGCGTTGGCCAAGAACTCCGAGGACCCGGACCAATGTTTACGAAAAGCTATGACAAATGTAAAAAATAAGCTCACAAAACAAAAAAAAAGAAATAATAATAGTCAAATTTGTAGAAATTTAAATAATACCATATAACTAAAATGATCTAAAATGAAATTAAATATGTATGTATTTTAAATTCTATATTTTCATAATTGAAAACTCATTGGAAAAATTCTGATTTTCACAAGTGATTTCACTTGGGAAGTGTCACTTGCAAGTGAATTCATAAGTGAAAACTCATTGGAAAAATTCTTAATTTTACAAGTGATTTAACTAGGGAAGTGTCACTGCAAACGAATTCATAAGTGAAAACTCATGGATACCTACCGGAGGATGAAAGGATTCGCCGTTATATGGAGGCACGGAACAGGATCTTTCCGGAACATCAGCTGAACGGCATGCGTCTAGTCTCACGGAGAGTCCAGAAAGCAAAGGAGCGCTTCAGGATAAGGAGATCCAGTCGATGAGAGGTGGTGGCGGCCGTGAAACGCATAGATTCCGCCGATTCCTTCGCCGACGTGAAGACCTTGGGCAAGCACCGCACCGGCTTGTTGGACACAGGGGCCAGCGTAAGTGTACTGGGCAAAGGCTGTCGAGAGCTCGTGGAAACGCTGGGAGTTACCGTCCAACCGCATTTTTCCGTAGTCCGGACGGCTTCTGGCGAGGATCGATCCGTTATCGGGCGCTTGGAGCTGCCTGTGAAGTACAAAGGCGTAAGTAAGCCGGACACGTTCTACCTCTGCCCCTACCTAGACCAAAAGCCCGTGGAGCAATCGCACAACAGTAGTGTCGAAGCTAGAGAAAGACAGGTTCTGGCTGGATGCCCGGAAGTTAAACGCATTGACCATTAAGGATGCATACCCTCTGCCCAGTATTGAAAGGAATCTCTCTCAGACGCATTATATCTCTGGCGTTGACCTCAAGTTTGCGTTTTGGCAGATTGAACTGGACGACAGAAGCAAGGAGTACACTGCGTTCACGGTTCCAAGCAGGCCGTTGTACCAGTTTCAAATGATGCCATTCGGGCTTTGAAACGCGGCACAACGCTTGGTGCGGCTCATGGATCGGGTGATACCAGCGGAGCTTAGATCCAACGTCTTCGTATACTTGGACGACCTGCTAATACTCGCTCCAGATTTTCAGAAGCACTTAAAATACTTGGGTCCAGTAGCCCACAGTCTGACCCGAAACCGTAAGGGGAATCGCTGGGATTCTATCATAATTACTAAAATAATTTGTAAGAACCCACAGTAAAGTAGTAGTACGAATTCGAATTTGCTGGTGATCGTCGCTCCAAGTACTTGGTGCGCAGTCAATATTAGCATTCAAAATATAACTGCACGCAGGTGTATCCACTCCTGATAATAATGTGAGAGAAGGTTCTACAGCTGCCGCAGTCCATTGTTGTTGTTGATGGCGAGAGCATCTCCGGAGAGCACTCTGAGAGGCTCGCCATCCAGCCAAATGTGTCAATAAAAGTTGTTGTAGAAAGTCGAACGTCGAAACGGTAGAGAGGGAGAGCGCATATATATTAGGCGATGATGAGTAAGAATACAGCAGATGTTCTAGGTACTTCGGGAGAGCGACGGAAAATGATGTAAGCACAACTCCGAGGAGCGCGCCAATATTAGGGCCAGGAGGACGGCGAATGTCGCGCAAAGCGGACAACAAAAGCTCCGGCTGAATTTGTTGATGAAGCGTCAGGAGAGCGACGGAAAATGATGTAAGCGCAACTCCGAGGAGCGCGTCGATATTAGAGCCAGGCGAATGTCGCACAAAGCGGACAACAAAAGCTACGGCTGATGTTGTTGATGGAGCGTCAGGAGAGAGACGGAAAATGATGTAAGCGCAACTCCGAGAAGCGCGCCGATATTAGAGCCAGGCGAATGTCGCACAAAGCGGACACTAAAAGCTCCGGCTGATGTTGTTAATGGAGCGTCAGGAGAGAGATAAAAGATGATGAGAGCGCAGTCAGAAAGGCAGGCAGCTGCCGATGTTGTTGCGAAAACGCCTCCGACAAATGAGGAAAGGCTTGCAGAAGATGTCCCGAAAAAGTATCGACGCCATTGGCTTCGAACAGTAGGGGTATTTTGATGTATGACTTAATGTTGAAGGCTCCGGCAAATGGGATATGATTCCATCCACTACCACAAGGGCCCGTTCTCTATGATTAAGTCTTTTGACCTTAACTGAGTCCGGCCAGTAATCGTTTTTGAAGACTGAATCGTAAAGCTGATCGGGGATACCAAGCTTGAAATTTTGCAAACTTTAAAGTTGTAACGTCAACAATTTTTTTGACAAGTTTTACACAAGTGAAAGAATTAGCATCCACCTTAAGCATGGTGGACACATATTTTAAAACAGCGTTCGGCTTAGTATCTGTTGCAAACTTTCCGACATGCAAGAATTTCTTGATGGGCAAAACATGAAGATCTTCGGCACTAGGAGCCACTCCAACAACATGTTTATTCTGCTTGTTGTTGTTCCTTCTCTTCTTATTCGAACTTGTATGAAATTTCCTCTCTCAATGAGGTTTGAGATTTACATTTAAATTTTGAGTCAATGCATCATCTTTATTTTTATTATAAAGGCCCTGATATAAGCGCTCCAGGGCTTTTAATTTATCAAGTTCATGAATTTTAGAATGCGAATCTTTCGCAACCACACAGCTGTCAAATTGCCACATAATGTTTGGATTTGAACACATCGTCTAAAGTGACGCAAGAAGTATGATAGGCGCGACGGCACAAAGAAGAACAGCGGACAGCACCCGAGACGCGAATCTGGGCCAATGTAACATTGCACCTGGGACAGCGGGGAAGTAACACAGCGAGAATTTTAAGCACGTCCGAACGCAAAGAAGGAACGACTGATAAAGACCAAATATGGAAGACGGCCAAGAATTCGGTCTTAAAGGCTGAGGAAGGATAGATCGTTTAAGAGGAGCATGAATATAAATGATTGCACTTACCATATTTATTAAGCATTTGTAAAACCAGCAATGTGTGAGAAAGTTTTCCCAGTAGTGAAGATGGAACCGTCGTAGTCGACCGAGAATGGGTGGTGCCTCGCAGTATCTTACGGGCATCCATGGTTGGGTGGGAGCGCTTGGCTAAGTCATCGATAGCCACCAAATTTAACCCATTTTTCCGTCAATATTTGTAGGTATTTACTTTTTTGATAACATTTTTTTGTTCTTAGTGATGAGCGATAGTTTAGTGATGTGAGACAGCGGAGATGGCATTAGGGGTACTCTGCCCTGGGATAAGACTGAGCTAGCGGCACAGCCACCAAAAAATAAGCAGTTTGTAACAAAAGAAACGAAAGAAACAAAAGATTCAGTGTGCCAACGAACGGCGCATCAGTCAGGGAACCATGGCAACAATGAAGGAAATGATACAAAAACCGTAAAGAATCGTATAATTATGGCAAATGAGTTCGAAAGTGAATGAATACTGGAAATAAGGGTGAAAAATAGTCGCTCGGTTTTGGTTCACTAACGCTCTTGTCTGAGTCCGTTTGCAAACATTTAGCGAGACTTTACTACTTTTACTAAAGTACATTGGTCCACTAGGGCATTAAAAACAAGAAAGAAAGTTAGCTTCGGCAAGCCGAATTTTATATACCCTTGCAGCTATAATTATTAAATTTAAAAACACAAAAAATGATGTTCCCAATAGTAAAAGATAATATGTCAAAAACACCGAAGCTATAATTTGTTTCATATTCTTTTCCCACCAATTTTCCGATCGTTCCTATGGCGGCTGTATGGTATAGTCGTCCGATTTTGATAAAATTAAATTCGAAATTCAGAACTAATTAAAAAATGTTATTTCCAAGCGTTGGAGGTTATATGTTGAAAAACACCGAAGCTATAATTTGTTTCATATTATTTTTCCACCAATTTTCCTATCGTTCCTATGGCAGCTATATCAGCTATGTCCGATTTCGATAAAATTTAATTAAAAATTCAAAACTAACTAAAAAATGTTATTTCCAAGCTTAGGAGGTTATATGCTAAAAAACACCAAAGATATAATTTTTTTTTAATTTTTTTGTCCGATTATTCCTATGGGAGCTATAAGATATAGTTCTCCGATCCGGCTGGTTCCGACTTATATACTACGTGCAAAAGATATAAGACTTTTGGGAAAGTTTCAGCCCGATAGCTTTAAAACTGAGAGACTAGTTTGCGTAGAAACGGACGGACAGCCGGACATGGCTAGATCGACTCGTCTAGTCATGCTGATCAAGAATATACATACTTTATGGGGTCGGAAACGTCTCCTTCACTGCGTTGCAAACTTCTGACTGAAATCAATATACCCTCTGCAAGGGTATAAAAATGTGTTTGGTTGTATGTATGAGGTCCAATCTTTACTAGTTGTTACCTGGTTAAGAGGCGTTTTATCTGAGGATCAGAAGTTTTTGGTTTGAATAAAATAAGTTAAATTGTTCCAGAAAAAAGTTTATTTACGAACTAAAAGTGTGTACGTCAAATACTATACCATATATGTACTACGGGTAAATTTTTCATTTTATGAATGATAAAATTCAGTTTTCTTACACTGGTAGAAAAAACGCGTAGTGAAATCAAATATATTTTTATTTGATTTTTTTTACTTCCCTGCATAGTCATACTAAATATAAAAACCTTTCATTTAAATAAAAAACATATTTAAGCCTTATGTCAAATATGTAAACATTCAAATCAAAGTGATTTTTATTTAAAATCAAGTTAGTCACATTTAAACCCAATGTTGCCATCTTGATTTTAACTATTATAAAAAGTAGTTAAATTCATAGTATATTTGATGGTTTTTTATATTTCGAGTAAATACTTTTTCAATTTGTTCGGAATATTTACTCATTTATTTTGAATATAGAACGTTTTCAAAATTTGTATTCGACCAAATAATTGTAAATTAGAAATCAAATTACATATGTATGTATGTATATGTATTAAGTTTGTGACCCATATACACAACATAATTTAAATTATTAGAAATTTGCAAAAGAAAAACAGCTTTAATATTTAAAGAAAAGGGTTTTAGTTACGGATGGCCAACCACCGGCAGCCTCTTTCTATTTCCATGACAATTATCATAAGATTTGGCTTTGTAATTTACTATTAAAAGTACAAAAACATGCTTAGCCAAAGAAAAAATGTGCGTGCATTGTAAACGCTGGGCCGTAACCAAAAACTAAAACCAACGGCACAATGTGCATACTTACATACATACATTCAGACAAATTAGAGACAAATATGAACAAGCAAAACGGCAAACGCAAGCGCGTCTTCTTCTTCTATTCGCATTTGTACATTGGCGGTCAAGAAAATATGTATGTGCATAAGAACATAAATATTTCTTGTGTACCGATGTTTTGACAATAAGATATGTTCTTATAATATAAAAATATAATAAAATAAAATAAATATTACTAAATTGATATATACAAGTTATTAAACTTAAGGACTTATTTGTACATATTTTCTTATTTTCTTCCCCATTACTTTGACCTCTATTGTAAAGTAACGCCACGCGACAGAATTAGTCCGTCCTTTTTGCACACATGCATATGTATGTATGTATATACGAATTAGTTTGACACTCCGTTTTGTACCGAATCCCGCGATCACTTCGAAGCAAGCGGTTCTCCTGATCGGATGTAAAAGTGATTAATAGAGTTTGAGTTTTTAAAGAGAGAGAGTTTGAGAGTTTTAGAGACAAGTGTTCATTTAAGTGAAGTAAAAAAGTGAAAAGTACAGCAAAAAGGTGAGTCAAATAAAAATATAATAATTACTTAATATTAAGGCATGTGCATGTCCACGTTTTTTTTGTCGCATTTTTCCTTTTTGAGTTTCTTCTTTGTTGTGCGCGTTATTACATATGTCGTGATAATTTAGATAATACATTTAAAGAAATTAAAGCTTAAAAGAGCATTACATTTAAAACATTTACATTTATTGTTCTTTCACGTGATTTTTCTCTTTTTTGAGTTAACTTCAACGTTCTTTTAAGAGCGAATTCGGTTTATATTCGGAATTCGCAAAAAATAATTTTTCGCATTTTCGATTTTTATAAAAGTTTTTTTACGAATACTTCGGTAACACGTGTTTCAGGAATTGGCCGATATTACACTTATCTAATTTTTAATTTTTTAAAAATAAAAACAAATTAAATTAAAAAATATTTTGGTCTTATTTAAATGATTATATATAAAACAACCTACTCGAAACTTAATATAAAACTACTTAACTTTTTCTTTATAGATACAAATTGATTTCAACATGTTGTACCCTGAGAAATAAGCAAGAAAACGGTTTTTTGGTTTTATGAAGAGCAAATACAAAACAAAGAGTGTCATAAACTATTAAAGACAGCTCAAAAAACTGTATCAATCGGTAATATATAATTTTTATAAATTTAAACTTAACTTTTTGCAGGTTAAATTTTATCTTCCTATAATAAGCTTGACTTTTTATAAATTATGCCATTACCAAAAATCTAATAACATATTCTTATTCACAGATTCCAAGGACTACATTTACTCTGTATTGTCTGTACTGTCGGCCGTCATTAAGGGAACCAACAAGCGAAAGAATTTCTCACTACTGGACTCGCAGGAAAGTTTTGAACGCACATGCAGGCGTACAATTGTTGCAAACTTTACTAGCTGCCCTATGCATATGTATTATATAAATTTTAAGAGTTACGTTAAGTACAAATGTATTTAAAACAAAAATAATGATAACGTGTTAGCATGGTAAAAAAAAGAATGTAAGCAGAACAATTGTTTGGATGATATGTTTAAGTTTATTTTCAATAAAAACACATTGCATACGTATTTGTGGCTTTTTTAAATATAAATCACGCTTGTTTTAAACTACGGATCGGTTTAAATTGAGTATGCACCATAATAATATGGCTTAAATACTATATTTAAATCAAAAATAAAGTACAGTTCTTTTAACGGGGATTATATTTAATTTAAATACAATTTGTATTTATATTAAAGTTCATCCCAGTCTGATTTAAACATGAGAATTATTTAATCCAAATAAAAATATGCTGAGTTTGAGGGCATGCTATAATTATTTTAACTATAAAAACCATTCAAATGAAATATTCTATTTACTGAAACTAAATATGAAAATATTTAAAAGAAATATAAAAATATAATACTTTTTACTATGGAACATATTTAATTTAATTATTTTGTACTATTTTAACATATTTGATCGAAAATAAAAAATCGTTGAACTTACTACGAGATTATTCAAAAAATAATTAACTATTTAACGTTTTCGTTTTTACGATTTTCATGTTAGGTTCTAAACCGCTGGGAAAAATAGTTGAAACGTTGGAGAAATAGTGACATTTACGATGTTTTTTCTACCAGTGCAATGATGATAATGTATAAAGTAATGATTTTTCGAGAATCGGAGATTCAAGGAATTCATGCCGAAGACTGCGTCATATTTGTGGTATAGTTACAAAACAAAACGTATAACAGCTAAATTGGTTATGCACAAAAACGCACATATTTGGGGAAATTTTTAAAAGCAGTGTCCTGGAACTATGACCCATTTTTATACCCGTTACTCGTAGAGTAAAAGGGTATACTAGATTCGTCGGAAAGTATGTAACAGGCAGAAGGAAGCGTTTCCGACCCCATAAAGTATATATATTCTTGATCAGGATCACTAGCCGAGTCGATCTAGCCATGTCCGTCTGTCCGTCTGTCTGTCCGGATGAACGCTGAGATCTCGGAAACTATGAGAGCTAGGCTATTGAGATTTGGCGTACAGATTCCTGAGCTTCTTACGCAGCGCAAGTTTGTTTCAGCACAGTGCCACGCCCACTCTAACGCCCACAAACCGCCCAAAACGGTGGCTCCTACAGTTTTGATGCTAGAATAAAAATTTTAACTGAAATGTATTGTTCTCATCAATACCTATCGATTGACCCAAAAAAAAGTTTGCCACGCCCACTTTAACGCCCACAAACCGCGAAAACCTGTGACGCCCACAATTTTCATGCTAGATAAAAAATTTTAACTGAAATGTATTGAGTCGATCTAGCCATGTCCGTCTGTCCGGATGAACGCTGAGATCTCGGAAACTATGAGAGCTAGGCTATTGAGATTTGGCGTGCAGATTCCTGAGCTTCTTACGCAGCGCAAGTTTGTTTCAGTAGAGTGCCACGCCCACTCTAACGCCCACAAACCGCCCAAAACTGTGGCTTCTACAGTTTTGATGCTAGAATAAAAATTTTAACTGAAATGTAATGTTCTCATCAATACCTATCGATTGACCCAAAAAAAGTTTGCCACGCCCACTTTAACGCCCACAAACCGCGAAAACCTGTGACGCCCACAATTTTCATGCTAGATAAAAAATTTTAACTGAAATGTATTGGTCTCGTCGATACCTATCGATTGATCTAAAAAAAAAATTTGCCACGCCCACTCTAACGCCCATAACGCTTAAATCTGTATACCGCCGGTAGGTGGCGCATTTTAATATCGCTTTTCTGCTGGCATATCTCCATATAGCTGAGTAACGGGTATCTGATAGCCGAGGTACTCGACTATAGCGTTCTTCCTTGTTATTTATATTGTGTCCTTGAATTATGACCAATTTTTATTTATATTTTTTTATTTCATAACTTTATTTTATCCCTAGATGATTGATTTTATAGATTTCACTGGAGTATTAGTCTTCGGCTGTTAGTGGATCGCTTACTTTGAAAGCCAATCAAAATAACTATTTTCCCAGGTAGGTTGCAAAAGTTTTCACAAGTCATGGCAAACATGAAACTGACAGGTATTGCACATGTAACTTTGAATTTGGCTTCTTTATCAAGGCGCAAGTTACCGACCAGTCGGCAGTCAACGAGCCTCCGGCCAAACCTTCCAGAGCTACCCTAGAAATGGTACGCTGACTGGGTGGGCACTTTGACCCACACATCTGGATGTAGTTATGTACCTTGCAACCTGAATCATTGCTTATACCCGGCACCGACCACCTCGAGTTTTGCTGACATAGCAACAGGATGCCCCGACACCTCGCCCAGGAAATGTGACACGAGCAGGCACTTCGAACGGATTGCTAGATAATCATTCTTTATTTCATCTTGTGTTAGTGTATAAGCCCTTATGTATAGTAGCGGCTGCTTTTCGGCCACCGCTGAACCATATATGAGGGGAGTCTAGAAATTCACTTCAAACGTAGAAGACGTTCTTACTCTATTTAAATCGTATTTTATTCCAACAAATATCAAACTTGAGATTCAAAATATCAATTCTGAGGACTTACTGACGGAAAACTGGAACCCCCTTGGACCACTACCAACCGGAGCAGACACTTTAACTGTAAGAAACACACACACACACAGACTTAGGTGAAGTATTCTTCTTCTCTAAACAAAAATGCCAAGGTATACAACGAGAATATAATGCCAAATACGACATGGGATAGCAAGCGAAAGAAAGTTAAAAGAAACAAATCATACCCGTACAGTGAAAGAACAAATTTATACTAATGGAAAAAAAAATAAAATAGAGATGAAAAGAAAATTAAAAAAAAAAAAACAAGAAATATATATGTGAAAAATTTTTAAAGTGAGAATAATAAAGTTGTGCAGTTAAAAATTTATAAATACGTTGCAATGCTCGATTCCGTTCGGCAGATCATAATCTAAATAATTTTTTGTTACTAAATAAAATATAATATTTGTAGTGGTTGTTAAAAAAAAACAGTTCTATAATCCCATTGCGTGTTTTGTAAAAACGTCAACTACAAAATGTATTGCAAATTATAGCACATAAAGCTAAAAGCAGATTTGTTTCTCCAGAAATAATAATAAAGTAACTTGATGCCTAACATTTCCAAAGTCATAAGTCTATTACCATCTAACAAAGTTACTACTAGAGGCGGTAGTAAGAAACAGACCACTAGCGAAGAAACACCTCAGGAAAATTCTTTATCCCTAGGACCAATTATTACACCCTCACCCTTGACCATGGATACTAGTAATAATTCCTCTAGTAATAATTCCTCAAATAATTTTGATGATCAGGGGCACGGATCAAACCCCGTATGGCCAGATGTTACTTAAAGCAATCAGATAGAAGATAAAAGGAAAGGCGAACAGGTGTAGCGCTTGCTTTAGCAGAAGTGGCTCCATCTGTGGTTCGTAGAGACACAGGGGTGGCGCCATCTAGCATTCGTGCGAAGAAATGTTCTGTAGCCGGTTTCGGAATAAGTGAGAGGGCCAAATGTCAGGCTTTCTCGGGTCTAGTTTTTCACCTCATACCCCGGGGTTTGGGGTACCGCCTGAATTTTGACATCAGAGTCGGTCTTTTCCATTTTGGCAGCCAAGGCGAGCAGAGGTAAAAATTTCTCTACAAGTGTTTAATCCGCAAAGTTTAGCGCGAGTGACTAAGGTCAGCCTGTTCATCTTGCTGGGCCACCGGAAAAAAAGGAGATATATTTAGGAAATTAACTACGGATTAGGGTGAGTTCTAGCTGAGATCGCAATGTTTGAGGTCTGGTGAGTAACGTTGAGCTTATTCGGCAGCTACCAGCCGTCCTCAAAAGGTTCCTGCGTGGCCGCCGTGTATTCGAGTGAGATCTGTGAAGGGCATCCCCTATTATATGTGGAGCCGGACAAGCTGCTCGAAAAACTATGTCGAGAAGCGGAAAAGAGGCCCAGTTCAGGGCCCCGCCAACAGCATTGCCTTTGGGGCGATGGAAGAAGACCCGACACACATAACCATTTTCGTTTGCTAAGTTACAAATCAAAAGCTTTTGCTTGGGGATCGTTCTTCGTTTGAGCGAGAGCCAAGGACAGTTGTTCGATCGCGCTGCAAGAAGGTGGTCCGTCGCGGAATGCGGCGGAGATTTTCTTCGTAGAGCCGTGAATTTGGCGTAAAAATGCCGGAAAATTGAGATAAAATTCATAAGGGGAAAGCGGAAAAGTTAAGCTCTCCGTCAGTTTTGTGACATTCGGGCATAACCTCCAGAAAGAAGGAAAAATTGTTAAAGACATGCAAAAGAAAAAAATCACTATGTAATACGTTAGTTTAAGTGAAATGTTTAAGATCAAAAAGTTCGTTTTATCGATTGATGGCGAAGCAATTTAAAGTCGTGCAAGGAGGCAGAGCCGTCATCCGGGGTTTTTTTAAGCGGTACATTCCGGTCGTGGAATCTTAAATCGTTTTGAGTTTATTATTATCTATACATTTTCCCGCAGCTAGCAACAAACGTCTCGGCAAAAGTGCTTTTATCGATGGATGTTCCTGCAAGCGGTGAGTGCCTTAATTTTTACATTTGAAAGATCAGGAGAAAACTCAAGGCGGTGTAAAGAAAAGAGGAAAAAAAGCTAAGTCACACCGCACCAAATTGGCCTGCAATCAGAAAAATCGTGATGTCAAGTTCTCTCCTTGCAATTTTTTATTGAGAGTTTTATTTTTGATTATTTATTTCTTACCCCTTGCATTATTAGTCAAATAAAGTCGTAAATTAAATTTAAATTGAATTTCCGCCACATAATCATAATTTCATTTAAAACTATGCCTATCTAATTGAATCTTATCATTATATAATCCTAGATGTTTATACCCGTTACTCGTAGAGTAAAAGGGTATACTAGATTCGTCGGAAAGAATGTAACAGGCAGAAGGAAGCGTTTCCGACCCCATAAAGTATATATATCCTTGATCAGGATCACTAGCCGAGTCGATCTAGCCATGTCCGTCTGTCCGTCTGTCCGTCTGTCTGTCCGGATGAACGCTGAGATCTCGGAAACTATGAGAG